CCTGCGCGGCCCTGCGGTGGGAGCCGCGGGCACGCGTTAGAACCCGGCCGGACGGCTGCCGCTCGCCTCGCTCACCGCCCTCGACCCGCCCCGGCGTCCACCTGGCGCGGCCGGGCTAGGACAGCGCCCGGGTCAGCATCCGGGCTCAGGCCGCGGGGAACTGGGTGGGGGTGGGGGTGAGCGCAGGGTGTCCACGGAGGTGCTGTCGCGTCCCCTGGCGCGACCTTGCGCCTCGCGGTACTCCCCACTGCGTCTGCGCAGCTGCGTAGTTCGTCCCCAGTCGCAGGCCCGTGTCCTTCGGTTCCTGTAGGGATGGTCCAGGGGCCCCTGGAACGCTGTAGTGTCCTCCGTTGCCATGGATACGCGCCGCCCTTTTCCTTAGCCCCTCCCTGCCTCATTTACACACCCAGAGGGACGGGGACACACACACACACACCCCGACGCTCAAGGTCGGCAGGATCTCGGACACAGGAAGCAGATCTGGAGAAAGAACTGTTCTGCAGCCAGAAGGATGCACACTCCTCACCCCTGTCCATTCTCTGGCCACCAAGTCCTCTTTACAACCCCATGGACCTTGTCCAGTAGGGGCCTGGCAGGGAGGGGTGCGCATCTCACATACCTACGCGCTGGTCCAGCTGCAACTTCCTTGGGGACAACGCGTCCAAGCTGGAATCGCTATTTGCTGTATAAAAGTTTCTCAGTTGCCCCCACTCTCAATCCAGGGGGTTTGGACAAGTGTGGATGCGGGACTCGGGCATACCACAGTCCATTCCCCTTGGCCCTCTTGATTGATTCAGGATCGATATATGAGGAACTTCGACCTATGGGTTTCACGGGGCAGGAAGTTTTTTCTGAACTGTTAGGGCTTCTATTTTCTGTGGAACTTTAAACCGTGAACAGCTATCGGCTAGTACAGCTGCAGCCTTTCTGTCCCCATGAAGGGAGAACTTGCCGACAATGGAGCCCATATGAGAAGCAGAATGAAGGACAGCGTATTAGTTCCCTATAGCTCCTGTAACAAATTACCACAAACTTATGGCTTAAAACAACGGAAATGTCTTCTTCCACAGTTCTGGATGCCAGAAGTCTGAAATCAGTATCACTGAGCTGAAATCAAAGTGTCAGCAGGGCTGATGTCCTTCTGGAGGTCCTAGGGGGGAATCCGTATCTTTGCCTTTTTCAGCAGCTATAACTGCATTCTTTGTATTCCTTGCTTATGGTCCCTTTTCCATCTTCAAAAAACTGGTTGTAACATCTCACTAATAAACAAAATCTTTGACACAAGTTCATTTATATTTGCACGGAGTCACGATTTCAGTTTTTAAAAAAGATTTATCCGGGGCACCTGGGTGGCTCAGACAGTTAAGTGTCTGACTCTTGGTTTCAGCAGGGTTCTGGGATCAAGCCCCGCATCGGGCTCTTTGCTCAGCATGGATCTGTTTGAGTTTCTTCCCCCTGCTCCTTCTGCTCCCCCCCACACACTTGCTCTCTCTCTCTCAAATCAATCTTAAAAAAAAAAAAGATGTATCCTTTAACAGCAGGTAACTATAACTGCAGAAACAAACAATCCCAGGATCTCAATGGATCAACACAATAAAATGTCTTTTTTGCTCATGTCACAGTGTGAAGTGGTCAAGTGACCCTCCCAGAAGGCTGCCCTTGATTCAGGGACCCAGGCTCCTTCTATCTTGGGTCTTTGCTATTCCTTACTTTATGTCCTCCTCAGAATTTTCTGCTGAATCTCCTCTGTCCAGCTGGCTGATGAAACAAGCAAAAAAGATGATGTAGGCCATTTTATGTTATCCATCATTTCTGTCCATATTCCATTAGCCAGAACTCAATTGCATGGCTCCGTGTAACTGCAGGAAGCCTGAGAAATGTGTTTGTGGTTGCAGGAAGAGAAAAGGGGATTATGGGGCATTTTAGTCCATCTGTACCATAGGACCCACAGTATGCCCTATATATTGAGGTTCATCTTGGCAGCACTCAGTGTCCAGTATAGTCCATCATATTTGGATTGAACTCTCCCAAGGGCCTCCTCATACCCCTTACACACTCAAGAGTTCTCCCCAGCATGAAGTCCCTGGTTTTGACTGGGCTCAGAGGCTCCTATACTCCTAGCCTTACCAGTAGCCACTCAACTCCTTGCCCAGGAAGGCAAGGGCAAATGAAGCAGATGCAGTGCCCATCCCTCCTACATCTGGGATGTGGGATGGCACCCATCTCCACAGTATCTCTAGCACTGCAGAGTGCAGCAGATGTAAAGTGCCCAGCCCTAGCTGTAATAGTGCCCTGCAAGCTGTGCCTGGGAATGGAGAGCCAAAAGCTTCCTTACCCCACAGGGCCTGTGCATCTTGCCCTTCCCAAGGTGGACAGGAGCTCCCGAATGGGAGACACAAAGTGAAGGGTGATTTGCAGGGAATTTGCTGCCGGATCAAAAAGCCTTACCTGGGAACCCTGTGGAAGTATATGAGGCCCATCCCTGGACTCAGTGATGAGCCCAGCTCTGCCCTCCCTCCAGGTGGCTCTGGCTGGGCCACATGGCCTCTGTGGGGCTCTCTGATATGTGGCCAGAGTTATCCCTCCTCTCCCAGTTAGGGCAAGGATCAAATGGGGTGATTAACGGTAGAGTGCCCAGCACAGTGCCTGGCATGTAGTAAGCACACCCAACGTGCAGAGCCACGTGTCACTTTGGAACTAGTGTGGAGGATGGAGTGGGGAGGAAATTGGAATCATATACATACTGCTATGAAAGAATCATGCTACTTGCTCCAGGCCTCTGGTGGACTCCCACCTATGTGGTGGCCCCAGGGAATATGGCCGCACATTTGGGTCTCACTCCTTGATTCCTCCCATGCAGCAGGAGATGGCATCCAGCCTGGAGTCCTCTGACAGAAGAGGAGCTCTGGCTGGACCACCTTGCTTTGACATAACATGATGAGGTCCCCATCTGCCAACCACAAACCAGACCAAGGCTGCCAGGGAATCCCTCTTCCTTCCAAGGGGAGCCCTCTGCAGAGTGACTAGGAGCCACCCGGGGGCAGGGCAGGCAGAGGCCCTGCCCGTGAAGCCCGTGGCCTTCGGCCCCGCAAGGGTCACAAGGTATGCCGCGTCCCCCTCCCGAGGCCCAGGGAGGCCAGAGGAGATATCTCGAAGACCGAAGGGAGGAGGCGGGGTCTAGCTACGCTAATGGGTGTGCAAACACCCAGAGGGTACCAAGGGCTAATGAAGCCCCCTGGGAAAGTGCAATGAGAGGTCCTGGGTTCAAATGTTACTTCCACCATTTTCTGCCTGTGCCCCCGGGGAGTCACTCCCCCCACCCCCGCTTCCCCACTTCCCAGCCCACCGAGGGAGGCGGAGCAAGACTTCCGGTAGCCCACGAAGCAGCTGGGTCACATGAGTGCTTCATTCCTGTGTTTATTAGCACTTCGCCAGAACCCATTACTATGCGCCCACTTGAAAGGGTCAAATAAAACTTGAGTCGGGGAAGCCTGCGGACGCAGTGAGTACCAAGTGAGGTTTAAGAAAGACGAGAACCGTTTTTTCAGGCTTCCAGAGGCACGCGCGCTCACGAGGCCGCGCGGCCTGCGTGCCGCTTCCGGTGCTCGTTGAGGTTGGAGCGCTGGCTGAAGGCGCGGCCGCACTCGGCGCATGCGTAGGGCCGCTCGCCCGTGTGCGTGCGCCGGTGGCGGACCAGACTGCAGTTGCGCACGAAGGCCTTGCCGCAGTCTCCGCAGATGTAGGGCTTCTCGCCCGAGTGCAGGCGCTCGTGCTGGCGCAGCTCGGAGCAGCCCCGAAAGGTCTTGCCGCACTCGGGGCAGCCGTAGGGCCGTTCGCCGGTGTGCGCGCGCTGGTGCTGCACCAGGCCCGAGCGGCCCTTGAAGGCCTTCTCGCACAGCGGGCAGGCGTAGGGCTTGGCGCTGCTGTGCGTGCGCTGATGCCGACTCAGGTTCGAGCGCTGGTGGAAGGCCTTGCCACACTCCGGGCACGCGTAGGGCTTCTCACCTGTGTGCACGCGCCCGTGCTCCACGAGGTGCGAGAACAGGGCAAAGGCCTTGGTGCACTCGGCGCACTCGTATGGCTTCTCCCCGGCAACGGGCACCCAGGGAGGCCCCTGGGTCCCCTCGCCACAGTCCCCACAGGGCGGGCACCCCAAGAGGAAGGACCGCCGGGCCAGGGCCAGGCTGCCGCGGTGGCGCTCGGCCGAGTGCGTCTTCTGGTGGCGGTAGAGGCCGGAGCAGCGCACAAAGGCCTTGCCACACTCAGCGCACTCATAGGGCCGCTCACCGGTGTGGATGCGCTCGTGCTGCAGCAGGCTCGAGGTGCGCGTGAAGGCCTTGCCGCACTGGTCACAGACGTAGAGCCGCTGGGCCGCGGGGCCAGGGGCACTGCAGCCAGGACCCGAGGCCTGGCCACACTGAGGACACGTTAAGGGGCCCTCGGCCGTCTGCTGCTGCTTGTTGGAGCCAAAGCGCTTTCCGCACCGCGCACACAGGAGGGGCTCCTTTGCCATCTGCATCGTTTCCTGCGGGGCCAGCCGGGCCCTCGGGGTAAAGTCCTGGCTGCAGCTGCAGTCCTCCAAGGGGTTCTGCTGGAGGAGGGTCACTTGCAGGGTCTTTGCGAAGGTCTGGGTGCCTGTGCGCTGGTCATGTGACCCATCCTCTGTGTGGATCTCGGACCGCTGGGTCCTGGGGCAGCACCAGCCCAACACCTGGCCTCCACAGTGATCACACACCAGGGACTTTTCCTCAGGGGGTGTTCTGAGACGCTGCATCAGGCAGCAGTTATGGCTGGAGGCCCTGGTACCGACCGGGCACCAATAGGGGCCCTTCCCAGCATGTGGCCCCTGGGGAGTGACTAGGTCAGGGTCCTGAGAGGAGGTGGGGCCACATGGCTCTTGTACCAGGGGTCCTGCTCCTGCACTCTGGTGGGTCCCTGGACTGGGGCTCACACCGAGGCCCCAGCTCCAGGAGCCCCTGCCTTGGGGAGCCATCTTGCCACCTGCTGTCCCTCCATGTAGGTCTCCCTCCTGAGAGGGGTGTCTCTTAGCTGGGTCCTCTGCCAGGGGCCTCATCTCCATCTTGGGCCTCTCCTCCTGGCCCCTGTCGGCTCCCTGGAGATCTGCCTTGGGGATGCCTCCCTGCCTGGAGTTCTGGGCCCGAGCCTCCATCCTGGGGCCAGCCCCCAACACAGTGTCCTGGCTGTAGGATCTGGAAGAGCAGAGGAGAAATGGAGGTTGGCAGTTCCCAGGAGGGGAGAGGGGAGAACTGCCAAAGAATGATGACGCCAGGACTGATGGGGTTGCCCTCAGCTTTCCATAGCCCAGGGCAGGAAGAGAAGGAATGACATCAGGCAGTGAGAACCCTGGAGCCCCCTGCCCTGACTCCTGACACCTGCCAAGCTCTAGAATGTCACTGAGGCTGCAGAGAGCATCATCCTTCCTCTTTACCAGTTGCTGGAGCACCATCATCCTTGGCTTGGGACCTCAGCAGCCCCTCCCTTTAGCAAGACATACCCCAATTGCTCAACTGCCCACTCCCCAGAATCACATCTCCACTCCAGGAACCACCAGCTTCCTGGCAGCATGCCCTTCTGACTCCCTGCCTTGACCTGGCCCAACCCTATTCACCTGCCATCAGTCAGGGTGACTCTGATGTGCAGCAAACATATATGGAGGCATCAGGGAGAGAAGGCCCACCTGGTGGGTAGGAATATAGAAGGGAAAAGCACAAGGGGCACCTGAGTGGCTCAGTCGGTTAAGCGTCTGCCTTTGGCTCAGGTCATGATCCCGGGGTCCTGGGATCGACTCCCGCATCGGGCTCCCTGCTCAGTGGGGAGCCTGCTTCTCCCTCTCCCACTCCCACTCCCCCTGCTTGTGTTCCTTCTCTCGCTGTCTCTGTCAAATAAATAAATAAAATCTTTAAAAAAAAAAAAAGAAAGGAAGACTTGCATGTCGATTAGGTTACTGATCAATGACAGTCACTAACAGAGGACTGACCTGTTAAAGAGGCCATGGTAAGAATGAGAATTCTTCCTATGTTCTTGTTACTTCCAGAACAAATACGGACCTGCCCAGCACAGCCTTTGGGGTATGAATATGTGACCACAGTAAATCAACACCTCACTGAGCATGAGGGCTCAGGTTCTTGTCTTTTTTATTTTATTTTATTTTTTAAAGATTTTATTTATTTATTTGAGAGAGAATGAGAGAGAGCACATGAGAGGGGTTAGGGTCAGAGGGAGAAGCAGGCTCCCCGCCGAGCGGGGAGCCCGATGCGGGACTCGATCCCGGGACTCCAGGATCATGACCTGAGCCGAAGGCAGTCGCTTAACGAACTGAGCCACCCAGGCGCCCCAGGTTCTTGTCTTTTTACTCTGTTCCCTTTTCTGTGCAAGGCAGATATCCCTTTATCAAAAGTTCCAGAAATTTTGGGCACCTGGGTGGCTCAGTTGGTTAAGCATCTGACTCTTGATTTTGACTCAGGTCATGATCTCAGGCTTGTGAGACTGAGCCCCGCATGGGGCTCTGTGCTGGGCGTGGAGCCTGTTTAAGACTCTCTCTCTCCCTCTGGCCCTCCTCACCTCTCTCCCTCTTAAAAAAAAAAAAAAGTTCTAGAAATTTGAGTCTATTTTGTGAAATGGTTTTCACCAACTCTCCCTTGACCGGCTGTTGCTTTTCTGTCATTTTTGCAGATTTCTAACAAGCACGTGCCTGGGGGCACCAGTGGCTTGAAATAACATGACTTGGAACTAAAAAGAATCAGGAAGCATTTAACCAAGTCTCTCTACACGTTTTCAGCCAACGAAACTTCAGAGCAACTGGATGTGATTCTTTTCAGGACGCTGCTGCCAACCATCTCTGGTGGATTATTCTGCCCTTGGACATCACAACCACAATGGCAGAAATAGGTTGATGGTTAGTGCTCTGGAGGAAAATGTTTTGGGAGTGAAAATTAGACATACTGAATTGGTTAAAAGTGAAAACTGCAGAGTTGGACACGTTCCCCAGATCACGAGGGGTCAGAGAAGCTGCTCCGCCATCAGTGCTCCGCTCTTCAGGAGGCTGCTTGCTGGAGCGTGGGAAGCTGAAGGGCCCACATTAAGGGTGGTTTGTCTGGTCACGTGTTCAGCAAGTAAACAGTCTGGGGCATTTTCTAAAGAAACAAAGGTGGCAATAAGGACAGGACCACACCGTGACCTGAGGTTTCTCAAACAGGCCTCACTCCAGTCACGTGATAACTACCAACCCTCCTGTAACTTCCAGGCCTGTGTGAGTCCGGCCTTCAACCCCACAGATGAGGCCACCTTTCTCCATCTGTACCTCAAAGCCACTTAGTGTCTGGGTTGACTAAGATTTCATGAGGCTACACTCAGGCCCATAAGGATACTGATCCCTGCTGGCTCTCTCTCCCATGGGTGGCACTGATGGGGGCTAATACCTTGGAACTCCCACACCTTCCCCATTGTGGCAACTACCACTTTGTGTCTTTGTTTCTCCACCTGACAATTTAGCCACCTAGAGCTTGAGACCCAAGCAGAGGTGCTCGGAGCCCCTAGAGCAGACTTCAAGAAGGCAGGAGGACATCTGGGTGACACTGAACAATGGCATATTGTACCCCAGTGCCAGACTGTCCGTGGGGCCCTTACAGAGTGAGGCAGCAGGAGGATGTGAGGGACACATCTCTTTCCCAAACACTTGTGGATTTGAGTCCGAGGATATTCTTTCCAGGTGGGAAAAGGCTACTATCCTACCCTGTTACTGTGTTTGTGCCTGTCTGCCTTGAGATACTGACTATGCAGCTCTCCAAAAGCAGGTGTGGGGACTGACATGGGCTAACTGGGGAGCAAGCAGCTGTGGGCACCACCTACCTGCCCACCAGTGCTGACTACCCTAACAGTAGATGGATAGGAATCTAACTGCAATGGACACCATGCCCAGGGTTGATGGGCCCAGGCTCAGTGGCCATAACTCCTGCAGAGTCCTCATAGGCCCCACCTAGGGAAGGCCAAGGGACCTGGCTTCTCTGGAATGTGGAGCTTGCTGTGCAAATAAAATAGACAAGCTGGGGGTCCAAGTTTCAAAAAGTGTCACTTGTACATTGGGACTGGCAAAGCTGTTGTACTGCATGGACCCACTGCAGGTGGACTGATTAGCCTCTTCCAGCGAACTCTCCACACTCAGACTTTGTCTCAATGAGGACAGATGGGCAGGAAGATCTGGCAGAAAAAAAGCAATTGCACAATGCACTCTCACACAGCTGGTGGGAATGGAAAATGATGCAACCAGCTACAGGGGAAAACAGCCTAGCAGTTCCCCAAAAGGTTAAACATGGTGTTACCACATGACACAGCAGTTCCACTCCTAGGTATCTATCCAAGAGAAATGAAAACAGGCAGTCAAGCAAAAACTTGCATACAGATGTTCATTATAGCATTATTCATAACAGCCAAAAGGTAGAAATAACTCAAATGTCCATCAACGGAGGAATGGATACACAAAATGTGGTTTATCCAAACAAGTGAATATTACTCAGCAATAAAACAGAATGAAATAGTAATACATGGATGGACCTCAGAAAACATCATGCTCAGTTAAAGAAGCCAGACACAAAAAGACCACATTGTATAATTCCATTTATGTGAAAAATCCAGAATAGGCAAATCCATAGAGACAAAGGGTGATTGGTGACTGCCAGGGGCTGAGGGAAGGAAGAATGGGGACTAATTGTTTAATGAGTATGCAATTTCATTTTGGGGTGCTGGAAATGTTTTGGAATTAGACAGTGGTTGCACAACATACTAAATATATTAAAAACTAAAAATTGCACTAATAACCAACCTGAATTGTACGTTTCAAAATGGTTCATTTACGTTATATGAACTGTATCTCAAACAACAACAAAGGAATGCACCCATGGCACAAAGTGTTCCTGCCTTCAGCGTGCCCAGCTGTCTGCTGTAGAGTAGCCGAGGTGAGTCCACCCTGCAACATCCGGGATGTCATCTGAGCCCCAGCCATAGGGATAGTAATGCATGGGACAGAGGGGTGTGTGTGTGTGTGTGTGT